TACAATGTATTAGAAAGATAACTGTATATAACAGAACTGGAGATACCGGACATGGTAACCATCACACCAACCGTGCTCAATAATTCATATGAAAATGGATATTACTATAACAATAAAATAATCCTCCAAAAAGTAATTAAAGCAGCAGATAGGCTCTTAGTTTTCACTGGGGTAAACCGATACAATATGGAGTCTGTCAGCAACGAAAAAATATTGTAAGCTAAAAAGTTCATACATTTTTATTCACACATAATGGTCTATTGCAAGTCTATTGATTGAGCAAAATTCATTACGAAAACAATCTCCAAGGTAATGCAGTGCTGTTCTATACAATAATAACATCCAGCAGGAGCTGACTTCAAGATAATAACTTTGTAATCCTACATGGCACTATGCCTCAAAGCAACATAACATACCCACATGCAGTGTTAAAGCCGTGGAAGAACAGGAGGCCCCAGGTATCAGCATAGGGCTGCACATAATATTCCAAATATGTAATGCTGCAGACTGCAAACATACTGCAAGAGATGGTTAGAGACTTCGGACATAGTGCAGGAGATGGTCAGATACTGCAAGCCATAGTACAAGAGACGATCATAGACTGCAGAAATACTACAGGAGATTTTCAGAGACTGCAGACATACTACAGTAGATGGTCAGATTCTGCAAGCATACTACAAGAGACCATGATAGACTGCAGAAATACTACAGAAGAGGGTCAGAGACTGCATACGCACTACAAGAGATGGTCAGAGACTGCAGAAATACTGCAGGAGATGGTCAGAGACTGCATACACACTACAAGAGATGGTCAGAGACTGCAGGAATACTGCAGGAGATGGTCAGAGACTGCAGACATACTCCAAGAAATGGTCAGAAACACCAGATGTACTAAAGGAGACAATCAAAGACTGCAAATGTACTACAAGAGATAGAAGCTAGGGATGCACCGATATATATCGGCCGCAGAAACATATCGGCCGAAAATGGCACTTTTGGCATATTGCCGAAAGTGCCATTTTCCTGCGTATACATCGGCGCATCCCTGTTTTCTTTCCTCCCCGCTGGGACACAGAGCAGCGCCCAGCGGGGAGGAAAGAAAGTGATAGCCGGCCGAGCGCTGCGAGAGGAGAGCGCTGTGAGCGGCCAGTGTCTCTCCTCCCACACTGCTCAGCCTCCTATCACAGTCCGGCAGAGCGGTGTGTGGGCGGAGACAGGCCGGGCTGTCACAGAAGGCTGAGCTCTCCTCCCTGCACCGCTGCGCCCAGCCTCCTGTGACAGTGTGTCAGAGAGGTACAAACACTCAGTGGTCAGTGATCTCTGAGTGTTTGTAGATAATTGGGGACAGAGTATAGTTACTACATCCTCAATTATGAATGAATGGGAAGTGATCTACATCACCTCCTGTTCATTTATAGTTGTAGTTATAGTAAACATACCATGTCCTCATGTTATTATGAACAGGAAGTATCGGGCTAGGCATCGAAGCATTTGGGCGAGTACGAGTGCTCGCTCAAATACTCGGCACCGATACTAGCATCGATATTGGTGCATCCCTACAATGCAGAAATGAGTGTAGAGATACATGGACAGGAAGTGTATCATTTGCAGATACACTTTCATTTGTAAACCCTTTTCATGGCTCACAGATAGTTTGTATCTAAATTGTATTTATGCCGTACTCTCCCTCCCTCCCTTGTCCTGCCTGTTATATAATTTCATTGACCCACAAGCGGTTGGTGCCTCGATGCTGGCTGAAGCTGGGAGATCCAAGGCGCTGTGGCACCTCCGCTGGGGCACTTTTGAGTGAGAGAGAAATTACTTGCTTTAGTCGTGCCCTGGTACTACGAGGAGAGAGACAAAATAAGGTTTGTGTTGATGTCCCGTAATCTCTCTGGGGATAAAACAATGCTTCATTGTGCAGCCTATCAGATAGAAGACGGAGAAAGCAGTGAATCGAGTTTGGCAGCTGCACTTTGCTGCATTACAGTTGGGAGAAAAGTCCGCTCTTCACTCATGTACCTGACAATGGCAGCCAGGGATTTCATGCATACTTAAAGTACAACATTTTAGGAAATTGATTGTAAGATAAAAGAGGACTCTGGGCTATGGTTTGGTTCTAAGTTAAAAAAAAAAGTGTGTGTGTGTATATATACAGTATATATATATATATATATATCACTCCCTGCCCTGTCCTGTCACCACAGACACATTACCTGCTGCCTTCTGTCCCCATTGGCTGCCATCCCTGACTGAACTCAGCTGCACACCAAAACCAGCACACCCCGCACATGTCTGGCTCTGTCACACAGTGACTACCGATCACTTGATGCTTCCTGCCAGCCGACACTCCAGTCCACACGTAGCCCTGGGCAGAGGCTCTACAAAACACACAATCACCAGGCCGTGTTAAATATGTCACTCATGGCTGTCTGCGACTCCATCACACCTCGTACTGTCATCACTTCCCATCCTCTCTCATTACGGGACACAACAGGGCTCCTCACTGTCACAAAGTCAGCTTAGAAATCCGGTCACTAGTTCCACCAGTGATCTCTACCTATGTAACATGGTGATTGTCAGTCAAGGGAATATGAAAATGTGAAGGGCGACTACTACACATGATGGAAGGAGAGAATTTACTTAGTGGTAATTGTGCCATGGCAGAGTGAAGTTCTTGTCAATACAATGGATGCCCACTAGACCTACAGTCCTATAGAGCTCACAACAGCAGCAGATGGAATCTATCTATCAAGATTAGAGATGAGCTGAGGGGTTGTCAAAATTGATGAGTTCATTGAACTGCTTAGACAACATTTGTTTGAAAAAAAATAGATTCTTTTTTTTTGAATCGTTGTTGTTAGTAGAACCTGTCACTTTGTCCATTCAGTTTCCATTCAAGGTGCAGGCATCTCAAAACCCCATGGCCCTGACTTGCTGGGTGCTATTAGTTTTGGGAGGCCCAACTCTTTATTCCTACTGCCTACACCAAATGACGATCGGATCTATGAGAGAGAGAAAAAAAAATGAAACAGCCAGAAAACAGAACAGCAGCAAACTGAAGGAAACGCCGATGCACAAAACCAAAGTCTGAACAAAACTCTGCCTCTTTTCTGAGCCGTGACCTGTTTTCTCCAGTGGCCGCCTGCTGCTCCCCTTCCTTGCATAGCATGGCAATGATGACTGACACAGCGTCCTGAATTCAAAGTGGCTCGGTGTTGTTGAAGTCCGCGGATTTGTTCTTTGCGGAGTAACTCCCCCACTCTCCTCGGGCCCTCGTACACTTCTCTCCGTCACAGTCTGTGAATCGCTGAAACCAGACAGAATTAATGGAGTCCCCTCCAGTGCCCGCCTGTCATCTAACGCCACGCGGGCAATACAGCGAGGCGAGAAAATACATATTTATTTTATGGGCTCCTTTTCTTCTTGGTTTAGGCTGCTGCCCGCGCCCCAGAGAGCTTTTATATGAGCTATGTGGCTACATAAGGGATGCCACTCGGCTGTAAAATGCAGAATTTTGTAGAAAGCGGAGCTGCCCTTTAATGCAGAACCGCAGGCAGTGAGCAGAATCATTCATAAATGCATAAAGCAAAATGTTATTTAACCAGGCTTGATTTTCATGTTCGCATGCAGTGTTTGGAAGGAAAACATTGCATTGGCTTAAATTTAGGAAGCAAATCTTCCCTTAAACGAGGGTGGGCAACCTTGGCACTGCAGCTATGGTGAAACTACAACTCCCATCATGCCTTGGCCTCTGGGCGTCATGCCCGAGTCCTGCAATGCCTCATGAGACTTGTAGTTCCAAAGCAGCTGGAGTGCCGAGGTTGCCTACCTCTGTCTTAGACAGTGATTAGCCAGGGATATCAAGTAGCTTTGCATATATAACTTCTTTATTCCTTCTTTTTCTCTCCCTGTGCTCAGAGAGCTGTCATTACTGGGCCAGACCAGTGTAAATATGGCTCTGTTTACATTCTGCCTGTCTAGGTCTGTGTCTAACTGCAGAAAGGACTAAACATAAGGCATTTTCTGTTTTGATTCAGTGTCTCTTTGCTTAGCGCCAGAAATTATGCTTTTGAGGCTGCACTGCACTCATATAATCAGAGGAGATCACAAACTGTTAGAAACAGGCTGCCCCTCTCCCCATCCCTTGTGATGCCAGACATGCAGTTGTGTAATGCACCATGCACATCTAGAGTTTGCTAACGTGTTCCTTGTTCTCAGTCCTGGTCTGGGAGCGCGTTCTTTATACTGTAGGTTTTAATACAATGGGGTTTATTTAAGGGAGCAATGTGCAAGGTGTAGTTACCTATAACATTATAATTATCTTTCACTGATCCGACTACTAAATAAAAAGCTTGGTTGACTGCTAGTGATCATTATGTCACATGACGCATTTGCTACATTCCAGAAACACTTCTCATACTCTTTCTGACTAGGTTCACATATCGGTGATCCCAGGACGCACAATTGCACACGGGCCCATTGATTTCAATGGGGTTATATCCACGTAGCAGTCGCTGAAAAAAGGTATTTGTACTTCTTTGTGCGACATGCCCCGTGCGGTTCTTTCAACCACGATTGAGCGCGATTGCACTGGTGGTATCACGGTGGGAAACCATGCAATCTGCCTGGCACGACTGGGGTGCCATTAGAAAATAATGGCACTGCCAGCGCGATTGGCGATGGTGTGCAATTCTATGACTGTGCGGCCATCCACGCGGTTTCCTGCACGGTGGCCGTGCAGTCATGAATCGCCCTAGTGTGAACCTAGCCTCAGGTTACACTCTGATCACATATGAGCAAGCACCTAGGCAGGGAAAACATTGACAACTCGCTGCTCAGGGGCCAAGGGCCACACGTCAACTACCAAAGGACTGGCAGGATTGGCACCAGGGGCATAACAAGTCACAATGTTACATTTTAAGAGCATTTAGGTGCAAATGATTAGTGGCATGTCCCATAATTCATAAATCCTTTTATTTGTCTTTTTCTGTTTACAGAATCAAAAAAGAAGAAAAAGGAGGTGAAGAAGCAAGACAAGATGGTAGACTGATAGACAAGAGGAAGCCCAGAAAAGGACACACGACCTCTGGGGGGCGCACCTGAGCCAACTGCAAAGTGGCTTAACAAACTGTCTACCTGTAGTAGAGGAAGGGAGGAGGGGAACATACTCTGTACAATTTAGTCTATTACTCGGTGGTGGGAGAAATTTCTTTTAAACCATAACACTTTGCTAGGGAATGTTTATTAGATGTGTGTATATAGAGGAAAAGGGGCTTAGACCTTTTTTTGTTTGTTTTGTAGGTGGGCTTGGGGTATATATTATTACCTTATTATTTCTATTAAAACTACGTCCCAGGCAAGCAAGCAGTGTCCTGTTAGCGGCCACGGAACTACACATCCCAGCATGCCCTTAGGGTATACTGGGATTTGTACATACCCAGCAGATGGACAGCCTCTCTTGGGACATCCAACAATAATTTAATTACTGCATCATCTAAAACAATTATTTAATACTGAATAATAGGAGCAAAAAAAAGGCCAAAATAGAAAATAAAGTGACAGTTGATTGTGTTACATGGGTGGTAAAAGTGTGACCAATGCAAAATAACATTTCTAAAATGTGTAAAATGTGTAAAAAGGACAATGAAGAGTTTAAAAAACAATTACATTTCGTTTTGAATAGAGCAGAGAAGGCTTAGAGCAGGAGTGGGCAACTCCGGCCCTCCAGCTGTTGTGGAACTACAAGTCCCATGAGTCATTGCAAGTCCCTGACAGTCACAGGCATGACAGCTGGAGGGCAGGAGTTGCTCCCCTTTGACTTAGAGCCTCTGCCATGCTTTTTGAGCTTGTGTTGATGGACTTTGGGCTGTGTCAATTGCATCAGTTTGACATGAGTTTGAGACGCTTCTGAGATTGACAGGTGCGTTTGACCTGCAGATTACCTCCTTTTAACCTGCTGCAGGCAGGTTGTTCATTCCTATAGACAGTGGCGTAACAATCACCATAGCGACCCAGGCAGCCGCTATGGGGCCGAGGGCACAGTGGGGCCCGGCCAGATGCCGTGCGGGCCGCCTGGGTCGCTATGGCATCCCCTGCTGGTGGCTTTCACTGGTGGCTCTGAAGAAGAACGCGCCGCTGTTCAGATCACTGACAGTAATCTGTGCAGCAGTGCGTTCCTCTCCACAGAGTCAATGAGAGCCTGCAGCGGCGGTGGAGCAGGCTGTACCCGGCAGTGGAGGAGGAGGAGAGGAGGCGGGGCCTGTGGTCGGCAGCAGGGAAGGAGGCGGGTCCCGGTGACAAAGAAGGAGGCAGGCCCGGGAAGGAGGAGGAGCCCATCAGCGACAGAGGAGGAGGACAGGTAAGGAGTGCGACCAGCCCACCTGAGGGTGACCCTGCATAGCCCACCATAGATCATCTATGGTGGGCTATGCAGGGTCACCCTCAGGTGGGATCTTGAGTGGGCTCTGCAAGGGGTATAACTAGAAATCACGGGGCCCCATACAAAATTTTGCTATGGGGCCATGTGATTTCTAGTTACACCCCTGTCTATAGACTTATATGGAAATGCAAAACCAGTGTAAGTGAACAAAAGCCCATTGACACAGGTCCTTTTGCTGTCTCTGTTCATATTAGTAAGGTTTCCCATAACTTTATGTTGTATCCCCAGAACAGGAAATTAGGATAATCTTTCCAGCGGGGGCATAGACAGTCATATGGTATGGTGGGAGGTCACATTCTTGACAAACCTGTAAGCACAGAGCGTTGGGGTTAGCCATGTCAGACATTGAAGAAGAAGGAGCGGTGGGGTTAGCACTGTTAAGGTGAGTATAAGGTGGTCATGACTTGGGCTTTAAAGAGATCCTGCCACTTAGTCTTGAATGGGCATGTTGACAAGGTCTCTTTAAATCCTATATACACTTTATTAGGTTATACTAGAAGCTACTCAACACAGCTCGTACAAGGCTTTTTAACTGAAAAGCATGGGCTGTGTTGTTCTTTGGCATATCCATGTCTCTAGGGCTGATAATCCTATGGTTGATGAGGGCAATGAAGACATTTTCACCCATGAGTCCCATAACATTTTATTTTGTTCCGGTCTTCTGCCAAAAGGTGATTTTACGATTAAACTGAGTGTAAAAATATAACACAGGGAGATGCAACTGAAATCTAAAATGAAAACGAGGAACATTATGGAACACCGCACTGCTGTAACAATTAAAGTGGGTTCAGCACCCGTCTCTGTATTTAAACATCCTAGAAAACCGATGGCTTTTAATAAACTAATTATTATGTTTGTGTGTTTTCTCACAAGTCTAATTCCTGGCCCGGAATGACACTTAACGCGCCGTTTCTCAGTAAGATGGTGCAACGTGTAGTAATTCACAGCAACTAATGAGATTTCAGTGAGAGCGTAACCGTACAACAACACAGTCAACATGCAATGGATTTTTCAGGTACCTACATGTGCAAAGGAAAATGAGTCAAAAAGACACCTGAGCATTGCTGTTATAGTGGATGGGTGCCAGGAGAGAGAGTCCATCTCTTCTTGTACCCTCTGGCCCAAGAGCATAACTGTAGCCATAGCTACATAGGCTCCCCACACCTCCAAGCCCGCACAAAGGCCACAGAGCATATCTGCTGCCCTAGGCTTAGGCCTACATAGGATGTCCACACCTCCAAGCCCGCACAAAGGCCACAGAGCATATCTGCTGCCCTAGGCTTAGGCCTACATAGGATGTCCACACCTCCAAGCCCGCACAAAGGCCACAGAGCATATCTGCTGCCCTAGGCTTAGGCCTACATAGGATGTCCACACCTCCTAGCCCGCACAAAGGCCACAGAGCAGATCTGCTGCCCCAGGCTTAAGCCTACATAGGATGTCCACATCTTCAAACCCGCACAAAGGCCACAGAGCAGATCTGCTGCCCCAGGCTTAAGCCTGCATGGGCTATCCAACCTCTAGGCCCACACAAAGGTCTGGACTGCTATGGGGCCCACAGCTAGCTGGCTACACAGTAATATATGCTGGTAGCAATGACATCAGGCAAGTATGTTTGGATAAAGTTAATGTTTATATAGTTCAAACCTGTATACAATTGTATGAATGCAGGTACTATTCTGTATCACTAGAATTTTTTTTTAGATGGAAATGAGCAGGGCCTCCCACTGATTTAAAAAAAAATGTAATTCATTTTAAATTGTATGGAATCCCTAAATCTTATTTTCTTGCTCTGTTTAAATATACAACTTACCCTTTTTTTGTTATATTTGCCGCCCGAGGTGGGGTCGTGGTGAACAACAGTGACGCCGCCCTCTGCAGACCTGGGACGCTTTGGCCAGTGTCCAACTAAGCTCCTGGCAACCAGTGACATCACTGGTTGCCAGGAGCTGGACAGGATGGTGGCCAGAGCATCCCAGTTGCTAAGAGCTGGGTGGAGAGATGGGTAAGGCCCATGCACATCTTCCCGCCTGGCTCTTAGCAACCTTGGATCCTTTTGCCAGAAAGGGGGCATAATTGTGCAGCAGAGCAGCCACTATAAACAAGCATGCCACTCTGCCTCCCCCACATGACCCAAAGAGATGCCACCTAATGCAACAGGGCACCACAGTGGAGTAGTGGTTAGTGCTTCTTCCTTGCAGCACTGGAGGTCACTGGTTTGAATCCCTGCCAGGTCACTATCTGCAAGGAGTTTAAATGTTTTCCCTGTGCCTCCCGCACTCCAAAGACATGCTGGAAGGTTAATTGGCTCTTGCATGTGAGATAGGGACCTTAGATTGTAAGCTCCTTGAGGGCAGGGACTGATGTGAATGTGCGCTATGTAAAGCGCTGCTTAAAATGTCGGCACTATATACCTGTAATAAATACCTGTCTCATTAAGTGAGGGGACCTGATCCTACCACAAATCCAGTGACCTACTGGATTTACAACAATCTTGCCCAGTTCACCTCTGTGGACTACAGCACACCCCTCTATGTTATAAGAAGAGAGAGGGGTTCTTTAGCCCTATCACCCTTTCACTGCTGTCACCCTAAAACCAAAAGTGTTATGCTGGCAGGACCAGGTGAAATAAAATGGCAAAAATGCCTGGAAAAAAGAAAACTAATACAGCCACCACATCTAAAGACTGGTAAGCTGCAATATATCATATTTTTTGTTCTTGGGTTCATATCCACATCTATTCGTAGCAGTCTGTGAGAGTTAATGCATATGGGTGGCTGAGCCCGTACGTGACTACACGCAAGTATACCCATGTACAGCTGTCTATAGCAATTGACTTCTAATGGAGGTTGTAGCGAGCACTTGGAGGAAATTACGGTGGATGCGCTCAGCCACTAAAGTGCATGAAGTCTAAATCAGATGAAAAATAGAAAATTGTAAAGGGAAGAGGGACAGAAGAAATCTGCCCCAAAAGTCACTGCTTGACAAGCAAATTCAAGAGGTGCAACAGCATGTATGCATGGTGATTGCATTTATGTGCAGATGTTTTTTTTCCCTTTAACTACAAGTCTTTTAAAGTAAATCTGCAGAGTTTGTCTTGCTACGGTCATTAAAGATGGAGGCTGTGGCTCATTAGTCACTGAGGTAGTTTGACTTCTCTTACACTAGGGGGAGCTCTCCACACACCTATCAGTTAATATACAAAGACACTTGTTTGGTTTGGGGCTTGCAATCTACTGCTAGGTAGCTGTGTGTTAACTGGCAAAGCACAGGTTGTCTGTGATGAAGATCTTACTTTAATATGATTTGCCACACTGTTGGGAGCTGAGCAAGAACACGCAATGCACTTCCAGCAAAACCTTTATTTCAGTGAAGGCTGCATAAAAGCTATGATTTATAAATGTTTTATTCTTATGTTCTTTGTAACAGAGCCCCAGTAACACTCTAAATTCCTCCCTCCCGGACTGCGGAGAAGGACGTCTAGTCTCTGCATGAGAGCAGCGCTCCCTCAACATCGGTCCGGCATGTCCCCTGCTGAGTGACAGCTAGAGATGTGCAATCATTGGGGAGCGAGAGTTTGGCACTTTAAAGGCCTGTGTTGATGCTTCTGAGATCATTCAGAATTCATTGACAGATGCATTTGACCTGCTGTTGACCTCCTTTTGACCTGCTTCCAGGAGGGTTTGCATCACCATAGACTTGGACGGCAAAATCTGCTTGAAGCACGATTATTTCAATTTCATTGACAGGTGCAGCTGTATTTGATCTGCATCCTTCTGACCTGCATTTGACTTGTTTCAAGTGGGTTTTGCATCCCCATAGTCTTGTATGGCAAAACCCGACACAGGTCATAGTTTTCTCCATAGCAGCTGATCAAATTGACCAGCAGTTGCATGTTTGGCTCTACTGGCTTTGAAGAACAACTTCAGGGGAAAATGTATTAACCCCTTCGGAGCCGGACGTCTGTCACAGCGTTTCCTCC